ATACCCAAGGTCGAAGGACTAAAATTGAGGGTTAGCCTTTCCCTTTTGATCTCTCCTTCTTGGCACAGGTGAAATCCATGGGACCTCAAAGATGGAAATGGAACCGAAAGGCAAAGAACTAAGTAAGGTCAGGTAGGCCCCCGCCCCCGCGTTGCCACCATCAGTACACAGTACGCACGCGCACAGACAAAGAATAATGGGACCAAACGTGGGAATCTAAATTCCAGAAGGGACCAAGAATTCCAAATTCTCAATCCCCAGATTCCTCCCCCCATTTCACCGAACCCTCCTTGACGCCACCAAAGTCTTTGTTATGTGTTTAGCAGCCTCTCTGGAAACATTTTCTTTAAGTTGTTATTATTGTCAATATTTTTTTTTTAAAAAAAAGAGATATATTGACGCTAAATGAGATGTAGACCTAGCCTCTGAATCTACAGTATGTTCCAAAGTTCGGAGTTTAACCTACTCCGTTTAAAAAACACTAATGGACGGATGGTGGGTAAAATTTTTCCTTGTCCTCGTAATCAAGCTGTATTGACTTTGACTATAGGTCTTCTTCTTCTTCCCCCCACCCCCCTAACAATCAAATTAAATTTTAATTTAACAAAAAGTATATATATGCTAGTAGAAATTCTCTGACTAGTCAGCAAAGAAATTTAGACTGGCAATAGTTTATATTCATTTTTTTTTTTAAATAGGTAATGAAAATAGTTTATATTCATTATTAGTGGGTTCTGTGCTTGTGGGAATTAGAAAGAGCCTCACTCATTATTGTTTGGTTGGAGGGAGAATTTTTTCCTTAAAGTTTCTTAAATTTTTATTTTTATAAAGTTATTTATATATTTTTACCTGTTAATATTATCATAAAATGAAGATAAAAGTAATATTTTTAATTTTTATTTTCTTTAATATAATTTTCAACGTGTAAAACTTTTTTCTCAACTTTTTTTTTTGGCAAAAAAAAAGGTTTTCCTATAATTATCATTATATTAGGTTTACTTAATAATTTTTTCCACTCATTTTTCCTATATTAATTTCTTATCTAACACAATAAAACTAATAATCTAATAAAATTCAAACAAAATTTCATTACAAAACTTAATAACTTTTTTTACAATACTTTTTAATTTTTCATACAATAGTTTCTTAACTATTTTATCAATAAAAACTTTTCTAATAAAGTGGTGTTTTAACCAAACAGGTCCAATTAGATGATTGTGATGTTACTAACCTAGATAATTTAGATGGGCAATCCAAGTCCTCGTATATACAAAGAATTACAACAAAGTGTAAAAATATATTATAAAGATATCAAGAATAGCAACAATATTTCATCATAATCATCTTCAAATCAAGCAATCACACTACAGCTAATTGATCTTAGGAAATTAGAATAATGATTATACAATTGACTCAGTTTGATTTAATCCATTCTTTATGTAATTAGTATATGTTCTAACTCAATTTCTTATAATCTAAGTCAAACGAGGCTAGAGAGGAGTTATAACCCAATTTAAAATTCAAATTTCATTTTGTCTTAGTTGGAAATTAAATAACCAAATGAGTGATTATCACGAGGAAGAAGTCAAATGTCTCAATATTTCTATCAAGAAAAAGATGGAAAAGGGAGTTAAGGGGAATTGATGGCAATAATTCCTATTGGTTAAACCATACAAGAAGATGAGTACATGACACAACCTTAACGGTGACGAAATGGTTACAACTGTTGAAGTATTTTTCAATTTTTCAATCAATTTTTATAAATTTTAAGACATATTCTTACATCAACTCAATCTATGTAGAAAAGTTAATTTCTTTAAATATTTACTTAAAAACTTAAATTCTAAGTCTATCCTTAAAGGCAATACTTTCTTAGCTGCACATCCAACCTTAACAGTCTTTTTCCTCATAATCATCTTCAAATTATCCAATCACACTACAGTTAGTTGATCTTTGGAAATTATGCAATCAAATTGATTTAGTTTGATTTAATCCATTCTTTATAATGAGTTTATGTTCTAAATCAACTTCTTAGGGAAAGTAGGAGTTATAACTTAATTCAAAATTCATTTTTTCTCGGTTAGAAAGTAACCAAATAAGAGATTATCACGAGGAAAAAGTCAAATGTCTCGGTATTTATATTTAGAAAAAGATGGCCAATGGAATTAAGGCTAATTAATGGAAATAATTCCTGTTGATTATAAACCATACAAAAATAGAAGCACATGACGCATAACCTGACGTTAACGGTGCCAAAATGGTTCCAACTTTTCTTGGACAATTGATAGTGTTTTTTAATAATTTTATATAAAATTTGATTTCAATGTATTTTTATATTAATTTAATATATTTAAAAAAATAATTTCTTTAAATATTAATTTTAAAACTTAAATTCTAAGCCTATGATAAGAGGAAATTTTCTCAACCATAGAACCAACCTTTGGATTGAAATGGTTGCAACTTATAAGCTAAAGTTAACAACCCTTCATTATTGACGCAATCGAACCCGTGTGGGATATTGTCGTCCACTTCATCAAAGCAAAACCCATCCTTAATTATCTTGCAGTCCCACTGACAGCTACATATATTCAGTAGTCCTCAAAACCATTAACATACTTTTCTGATTTTCCCTCTCTCTCTGTCTCTCTCACAATGAGGATGATAATGGCCATTTGGTTCTTGTTTCTCTGCCTCCCAATCTTTTCTTCCCTTTCTTCTGCTGCCTCCTCTGCCAAATTCACACCCAGATTTCCTTCCTCAATCGTTAAGAAACCAGAGCAGCTCTCTGTTTCTACCAAAACCAAGCCTTACCAAACAAGGTACTTCACCCAAATACTAGACCACTTTACCTACACCCCCAATAGCTACCAAAAGTTCCAGCAAAAGTATTTGATCAATGACACTTTCTGGGGCGGCTCCAGGAACAATGCTCCGATCTTCGTTTACACCGGAAATGAAGGTGACATCGAGTGGTTCGCCCAAAACACAGGGTTCATGTTCGACAACGCACCTTACTTCAAAGCCCTTCTCGTTTTCATCGAGGCAAGTAACGAATTGAACTCACTTTAGAAATTGAAGATCGAAAGCAAATTTCTGCGATAACTAAGCACTAACTGATAAAAAAAAATGCAGCATAGGTTTTATGGAGAATCCATGCCATTTGGAGGTAACAAGGATATAGCTTATAGCAATTCCAGTACACTCGGATATCTAACCTCAACGCAAGCGTTGGCGGACTTCGCCGGCCTGATAATCAATTTGAAGAAGAACTTATCCGCACTTCACTCTCCGGTGGTGGTTTTCGGCGGTTCCTACGGCGGAAGTATGATTCCTATATCATCTCTGTTTTTCTTTTCCCTGTTTTTTTTGTTAATGATTGTGTCTGAAATTTTGGGTTTTTTTAGTGCTGGCTGCTTGGTTCAGGCTGAAGTACCCCCATGTTGCCATTGGAGCACTGGCATCTTCCGCTCCAATCCTCCAATTTCAGGGTATGGTATCTCCATACAGCTTCAACAACATCATTACTCAAGATTATAGGGTACGCAATTTTTTTTCACTCTGTTTTTTGTGTTTTTTTTTTAAAATTTTCTTATTTGTCCAAGAAAGGTACTTAATAAGACATTGGAAATTGCATTATTTAAGATAGGATAAGAAATAGGTTCCACACATATTGCCAACAACACTGTCCATGCCACTAAGCAATTATCATATACTTATTCACAATATTTTATTGAAGAGGACGAACAAGTACGACAAGGAACATGTAAATTATGACTAAGTCTATGATCTTGATATTTTTTTGTACGCACGTAAAAAAAAAAAAAAAACAGAGTGAGAGTGAAAATTGCTACAAAGTAATCAAGGGATCGTGGGACCTAATTGAAAAAACTGCGGAACGACAAGGGGGGCTGGAGCTGCTTCGGAAATCATTTAGAATATGCAAGTAAGATATGGTTTCTAGATCCGAATGTAAAACTTTTAATTCAGAATTTTTATTGTTCTTAATTTATTAGGTGGATATCTTAATATTAGTTCAACTAATTTAGCATGAAAATTTTATTTCTTTGTTTTGTGATACAGAAACCAAATAAGTGCGGATGGTATAGAGAATTGGCTTGGTACAGCATTGATTTACACGGCCATGACGGATTACCCAACCCCTTCAAATTTCTTGAATCCCTTACCAGCTTACCCAGTGAAACAGGTAAACCAACTCATTTATACTGGTACCCCAATCTCCAAAATTAATAATCCTGTGTTTTTTTTTTTCACCATTTTCTACCAGTTCATTAATCTTGAGTTGAATAATTGAGTTAAGCTCAAGTTCATTAATCTTGAGTTTGAAGAAAATATCTTTTATATTAAAACAATAAGTGGTTGGGCAGATGTGCAAGGCAATTGACGATCCAAAAACTGGAAATAATACATTTGAGAAGTTGCACGGTGTGGCTAATGTCTACTATAACTACAGTGGAAAGGCCACGTGTTTCGATCTGGCAAGTCATTCTGATTCCCTCGGACTCGCAGGGTGGACATGGCAGGTACCTTAATATGCCCTCTTATTTGTCTGAATTTCATTGGGCATAACCCCCATAAAACCCTCAGACTATTTATCTTTGAAACTATTAGCTCTTCAACATATATTTTGTGTATTTTAATTCATAAATTTTACATTATTACTATAATTAATTTAAAATAGATAGAATTTAATCATGTGAGTTACGTGGTTATTATTGCTTTATTACCCTATTCTTATTAGTACCATGTTAATATAAATATAGTTTACTTAAACTAATGAGAATTGAAAAATCTTGTCCAGAGCATTTGTAAATTTCATTCTTAACAAGATTTTTTTTATCTCTATGGGTTTAAGTGAAAATTATATTTATACCAATATGACACTAATGAGGATAAAGTAACAAGATAGTGATGGTCACATATCTCACGTGATAAGATTTTATTTATTTTAATGATACCAATAATAAGAGGTTTATAGGTTAAAATATACAAAATATATGTTAAAGGACTAATGATTTTAAAAACAAATAGTTTGAGGGCTTTTGAGGGTTACGCCGAATTTCATATCGTAGTTAGTTTTAGCTTTGTATGGGCACACGTTTTTTTAATGTACTAAGCATAGTGAAATAGACGTTATAGGCATAGTGGTACAATTATTAATTTTGTGAAATTCACCCAGTGCGCCACCATCTCTTTCTTCATTTCTTCCTCCTCTAGTTCCATTAATTATAATAAATTATTTATATTAAAAAAAATTAAAAAATGTAAATTTTTTTAAAAAAATTTAAATTTATAAAATATAAATAGTGTCAAAAAAACTAAAGTATTATAAAGCTGAACCAAATATATCCTAAATTATTAAATAATATTAGATATTAAAAATAATTAATATATTTACAAAGTAGGATTAATTCATATGAAACCTTAAAATTTTAGAGTCTCTAACTTACAACCGAGTGAACTTTCCTTCCAACCATGGAATGTAAAGCAAGGAAACATGGAGAGGGAATTACACCGAATGTAATGATTGAAAATTTTCATCACGCAAAACCTTGAAGAACTCTCGTGCTTACAATCTTTTCTCTCTCCTTCTCTCTCTCTGTCTCCCTCTCTCTTTCCGTCACGTTGTCGTGTCATTTTAGCTTTTCAGCTATTCAAATAGTTCAACAGTTTCCACATCAATCCCATAATCATCGCACGCCTCTCCCTCTCAGCCCACACCATACCCTGCTTTCCTTCTCCACAGTCTCTCATATTCTCTTATCTCTTCCTTCCAAATGTTCATAAACCACTTGGGGTGGCAACAACCACAGCAATATCACCAAGAACAACAAAAACGACAACGATCTATAATGGAACCGACCCAAAACGCCCATTCTCACCATCCCCAAATCCCCAGTGAAAACCCTGCTGCTTGGGCCTCTCATTTCCACCACCAACACCACCACTCCTGGCAGCAGTTCTATCCTCCCTCTATGTTCCCCTCACAGAATCCTTCTCTTGGCTTCAATCTCAATCAGCAGGATGATGATGAAGTCAATGACCAACCTACCGCGGCTGACAACCAAGAAAACTCTAGCCAAGATCCGGAGAAAGAACCCATGTTTGAGAAACCCTTGACTCCTAGTGACGTTGGCAAGCTCAACCGTCTAGTTATCCCCAAACAGCACGCGGAGAAGTACTTTCCGCTCAGCGGGGACTCGGTGGATAAAGGGCTGCAGCTGAGTTTTGAAGATGAGTCAGGCAAGTGCTGGCGCTTCCGCTACTCGTATTGGAACAGTAGCCAGAGCTATGTATTGACAAAAGGGTGGAGCAGATACGTCAAGGAGAAGCAGCTTGACGCAGGGGATGTTATATTATTCGAGAGGCACCGTACAGATGGTGACAGGTTGTTTATAGGGTGGAGGCGTCAAGGCGGTGCAGCAGCAGCTGAGGATGGCGGTGCTTCGCTTAGTGGTGGTGGAAATGACGGGTGGAATAGGGGATTGTATCAAGGGCATCCTTATCTTGGCCATATTCACGGTCAAGAGGTTGCTAATGTACTATACCAACCTGACGGTCTCTATGCAGGTATATTTGGTCACATTATGACTTATCTATTCATCATTTTTCCTCTTTATTTTCTTTTGCGTACATGATAAATTTTGCATATTTGGTTTTTCTTTGATTATTAATTTTAATAATAAGACTTAATCTAGAAATTTACACATATATAAATGCGTGGATACACATGCTTCTCTTATGTGTCACGTTTTTCATCTCTTCCCTTAGGCTTCTATTACTTCCTAATTGAATCAGAGAGCGATTCCATGTGATTCACATTGTTTGGTATTGGTTGCAGCAACTGCTATTCAGAGCCAGTCGACCCCGGGGAACTCAAGGAGGCAGCTGCGGCTGTTTGGGGTGAACTTGGAGTGCAACCTCGATGAATCCGAGCCATCCACACCAGATGGCTCATCTATATCGAGCCAGGGTCCATCCTACCAACAATTCTACCCATACTCTCATCCCTATTCGGTACGACTATATTTTATTATTATCTTAAACTCGCATTTTTTTAATTAGTAGCTTAAACTGGGTATAAATTATTAAAATAATTAGTGAGCAGCTGAATCCAGGTCTTTAGTCTTTCCCACTTGATATCTTGCTGTCTCTTCCAAAGAAACAGACAGATTATTATGGTTAAGTCCAGGGAAATTGACAAACTGCACGTGGCAAGACGGCATTAGTGCTGTTCATTAGCATGACTAGATGTGAGTTTTTAAAGTAAATGCTGATTAGCAAAACATGCCTAGCTGACAAACTACGTTGTCAGGTGATTTTGGATTCGAAGATTAAAAGGTTTAAATAAAGATTGCCAGGTAGATTATAGTTTTATAAATAAGATGTGGACTAATTAGGAATGATATAAAAAATGGATGGTCGAAGTGGAAGTGAAGAGTAAGGTAAGCAGGTAGAGATTGCGGAGAAAACTGATAAAAGTGTGTGTGTGTGTGTGTGTGGTGTTTGAAACAGGATATCACTTTCTCTCAAGGCGTGAACCAGATGAGAAATCACCGAGGATAGAGATCTGAGGGATGTGACGTCCTGGATTTGACTAAAATCGAAACCCCAACTGAGGAAAAACATATATAAGAAATTACGAAATGCTATTTTTTGTTAAATAGAAAAGAAAACGAAGTGTATCCCTGGAATTAGGCAACATTCCAGGGGTGGGAATGGGAGTGAGGGGCCCAAGGAAAAGAGAGGGAGGGGATGACATAAGGAAATGCCAAAATGGGGAAGATGGGGTTCGTTTGGGGAATCTATTTGGGCACTGTTGAGATTCTGCCTGAAGATTTTTCATGGAGACTAATAATCAGTCATAATGGTGGAGATGGTGGTGTGTTTGTGGTGGGTGGGTGAGTGTATACTGTATATGGCTGTTGCTTCAATGGATGGATGACAGCCCACTCCTTTTTCCTAATGTGTATGAACATCAGATCATGTAACCAAAGTTTTTTGATGCTCTACTCTTTTCTTAATATCTACGCCCATCAATTCATGTAACCGCAGTTTTTTGATGCACTATTGTAAAAGTTGTATTATGAAAAAGAAAAGATTAGAACAAGAGGGCATTTTGACGTCCATGTTCTGGACTCTATTTTCTACATGTACCATAGGAGCAAAAGGCCAACAGCTACATTATTCACATTTCTCGAATAGCATTTATGGGTGCACTTCCGGTCTTGAAGGATTAGACAGCTGATAAGTGCAAAAAGAAAAGCGTTAAAAGTGGCCTATGAAACACAAACAGTCACCATAATGCAACTTGCAAGAATTGTCAATGAATTTAGACTTTCAGAGAAGTGACAAATGTGATGTAAAGCGATAAAGTTAGAAATAAATGGTATGATAGTCATCACTGATCTTATCCCACTCCCCTATACTGGCATTCTAAAGACCACATAATTCACAGCTAAAATGTGAAGAGAATAAATTAGGCCTTCAGTCCTGACCTCCTATGATTCCATGAACAAGTCAGGAGGCTGCAGTAAGTAAAATTGATACCTAGTAATCTTTTGATTCAGGCATCAAGATAGACTGTCCTTCCTGATATTCACATTACAAGTCCAGAACACCAACTAACATCAACAAAAGAAGTATGGCTTTCTGACTTCTGATATAATGGATACATCAACTCAAGAGGGTCACTTGAGAAGATAGCCTTTGTGCTCTAGGCGGTTTACCATAGTAGCTGTAAGGTCATATCAAACCAATGTGAAATACCTTACCGAGACAACCCAGTATGGGTACTTTTGTATGCTTGCTCATGCGGACGTAGAAAATAGTCCCACCCACATTTACTCGTTTGATGCCGAAGCACCGTATATATAAGCCTACAGCCAAAAATGTTTGGTCCGCCATCAACACCATTCACCATTTCACACAGCAGAATGCAAGATACCTACAAGTCTATAACCACTAAAAAACTCGTTCCTGTTAATAGGGGGAAAAATATCCTGTTGAATTTATGGTCTAACAATTAATAATAGCGAAGCTGGGCACAATATCTCGAAGACTTAGACACTAAGCATAAATACAATACAGCCACGCGCCAGCTAAATATATTGCCCCACAAAACAATCCCCCTATCACGTTGCCTTTTCTACTCAGTTGATTAGAAAAGGACTTTATGCACGAGTCGCCCACCAGAACAGGAAACATGAGCAGCAAAAAGAAATGAAAAACGAACAAATAACTTTTAGGGGTTTTGTAGCGAAGCAAGGAGTTAATTTCGTTTGAAATGAACCTATATAAACAACATCATCAGCATACCCAAAACTAATATTGGTCCCAAAGGAAGCAAGAGCACATGAAAGCTGAACATAGATATGATGAAAGTAAGACTATATTCCATAGGTCTGTAGGGATATTATTTCCAGAGACTCCGCTTAATTTAGCAAGCAACCAAGCATGCCTGATATCACAAAACATGGAAAAAAGATTATAACTCCATAAATCACCAAATTTCATCATATGGATTCATTTTCAATTATCTCATCTTTAAAATTAAACAACTTGTGGCCTTTATTTCAAACTATCTCAAAGCCTCATAATGGCCATACTACCCGACCTATCACTTTTTCAATGCAGGATTCCTGTTCCTCCTGATCTTGGCTGAACAAACCTAAAAAATAGTTGAGGGATTTCCCCAATTCAACATCATATAAATCAAAAACCTTAAAGGGCCAAACACTAGAAGATTAGGGCTACTCACATTAGTGCAATTTAATTTACTTATGAAATCAAAAGCCTTAGATGATCGTTCTCAGTGATACCTACAAGTTAAATCCAACTGAAATATATCTACAGTTTAAGTACTTGCTTATTAAACACTAGCTTTAAAATCGGTACTTGTCATTCAAGACCAACACAGTGCCCTTCTGAATGACAAAAACCTAAAATCTTAGGCTTTGATGGCATGTTATTGCCCAGTTTAAGGTGCACTAGTTAGAAAGGCTTTTATGAGCTGAGTACAATTAACCTAAGACCTCACATTTGATTGTAATCTGTTTAGATAAATAATGGGTACAGGGTTTCAGCGGCTTCTATGCTCATGTCCATAGAGTCATAGACCTTCCATGCGAACCAAGAGACGCAATTTGGTGACAAAGTGCACACATATCTCAACACACTACTTGCATAACTAATCAGACGAAGTGAAAGAGATCATCAGGGCCCAAAAGGATTCAGACAAGAGAGTTACCCCTTGACCTCCACTGTAAATGGGCTCCAATTGCTTTAGTGGCATTGTAAGTGGGCGAGTAACCAGATATTGTCATCATTGGCCATAGGATAGTTGCCAATCAAAAGATTGAAGGGACTCCTCCAGTATAATGGGTCTGATCTGCAAGAATAATTCAATCATGCACGTCCAAGTACAATACAAAATGTAGTAAAAACATGTGAATAACTATCCCGCTTAGCTTTTCCTCTCATCAGTACTTTTGCTTTTGGGGCTAGGTCAGCCTCACCTTAACCTGCCATCAAATCTGCCACAGAAAGGAACTCTTTTCTCTGATTTGAAGAGCAATAAAACAAATTAACGGTATTGATATTAGAATTGACAGCAAGTTACCAAGAGAGCACTAAATTTCTGAACACAATAAGCTAGGAAAATTAAGCAAAAATATGTGGTTGGATAAATCTCATTGCAAGAAACATAAATTAGAGGTCCGTCTATATCTAATTTACAATAAAGGTATATCAATGCATAAACAGAATTAATTTTGAAATCTTTTAGTAATGATCTAACCTGAGATTGCAGAATAAACAGATAATTGAGACTAACAAACAAATACCATAATTCTGTGTTTCAGTAGTCTTGAAACAATCCCGAAGTGCTTGAAAGGACCCAAAGCAAGGCAAACCTTGAATGTGGAATCCCACCACGTCACCAATGACATCACATGACAGAGCAACAGAGATCACCCCAAGTATTTGTGGTGCTGTTCACAGTAATTTTTCCTTTCAATCATCAACACTTCAAAAGATTTCTACTCTGAACCAAGTCAGATTCTGTGGCCTCAAGCTACATTCAATTATTCACATTGTGCAAGTCATTTTCAAACATCTAAATCATACGCAGAGCAAAGTACTTTCAGTAGTTACCTTTGCATATCTTTACAAAAGGTTTTAAAGAAGCTAAAAGTTTAATCCTGCAGTATATGTTTAAATCATATAAAGATGAATGAATGTTACACTCCAACAGTTTCAGAGACATGATCCCTTCACGAGAGAAGCAGAAATCAGCCACACAATACAAAGTTAGAAAGTAATTTTCCAGGGTACATGTCATTATCCTGAATAATCTTACAATAAGACTCGGAGCTAATCAAATCCTACATAAGAGTATCCCACCATCATTCCATCAAAAAAGAAACAGACAGAGCAGCCCAAAATACAAAACCTATAGCTTGTCACTCAGGGTTAAAACTCATACAGCACAAATTCTTCACTGACACCACTGGAAATAAGAATCACAGCTTTCTCTTTCAACATCAATTTTCAAACCAAGTTTCTTTGATCCGTTGACACTCTCATGACTATTAATCTAATCAAAATAGAAAAAACCAGTGAAACAAGAAAAGAAGAGGGAGACGAAAAAACTGGTTCCATTAGAAGTAAGCCTTACATGGTTCTCTCATCATTTATTAAAAAGAAACAGACAGACAAGCCTACAATACAAGGTCACAAGTTATTTTCCAGGGTGCATGCCTTTATAGCACATCACCTTAAATGACCACACTTACATTAAGACTCACATCAGATCGAACAGAATATCCCACCCCCATTCCATCAGAAGTAACAGAGAGAGAAGCCCACCACACAAAGCTATAATTTATTGCACAGGGTGCACACTGATATCATAGCACAAGTTATTGCATGACATGAGTCACAACGAGACTCACCGCTTTCTCTTTCAACATCAATATTCAAATCAAGCTTTTTTGGCCTGTTGACAATCATGTGGTTTTTATTCTACTCCAAAGAGGAAGAACCAGTTAAATAAAGGGAAAAAAAAAAAAGGAGAGAGAATGAAAAAACTGGTCCAATTAGAAGTAAACCTTACATCTTCCCTTCGAGAGGCAATGAAATTTGCAGGAGCTGTTATTTGAATTCCTCAATAGAAAAACCAGAACCATACAAACTGCCACCATTAAGCAATTGGTCCCATACGCAAAAACAAAGCTTTGATTGCAGTTCATAAAGAGATGAGGCATCTATAGTTCCATAATGAATATATTAGAGTAGTTTTGGCATCCATTACATTTCTACAAGCAAAAAAGTGCGAATGCTAATTCAAATAGAAGAAAATATAAAGACATGAAGCATCAAGCATTTCCAAATCCCAATGCTTTTGAAAGCCAAAATAATGAGGAAAACCTCATCACTGGGAATGGAGAATTAGTCCTGAAAAATTACATTATACAATAAATGATTTCATTCAGTTCATTCATTGCTTTCACATTTTACTTACAGTACAGCCAAATTCCCAAAAGTAATAGATCATCCCTGTGATGTCATGCTGACCCAGCTCTACCAAAAGGGCGTTTACTTGAAAGAGCAATACATGAGTAAGAGAAATACTCACATAAATTAGCTCTTACGAACTCCAAAGTCAAGATGACTTTTTCTGGGCATTACCTTCTTGTTGAGCCTTAGAATCCTCCTCCTTCTCCGTGGCTTGCTGTATACCTTCTTGATATCCTTCTATAAAACTTTTGAGAGCATCTCTATATGCTGAAGCCCTTGTCATATACACCCGCTGTAAAGCAGTCCTTAATGTCTCCATGCCTCCTCTAGCAGCCACCACTATCAAATTGTTTCCATAAATAGCATCAAGGCAATGTATAAAATTGACACAACTGACAATTTTTTTGTTATCAACACAATTGAAAGCTAATTACAAAGAGACTAAAAAAGGCAAGGAGGAGAGCAAAGAAGTTTAACCAGATATTCAAAAATCCAGTATTAACAGCAGAAAGCAGAAAGATGCTCCCAAGAAATCAACATAGAGGCTTTAAACTTTTCCAGAATGAAAAAACCATCACATGTTCCGTTTGCCTATAGTTCTTCACTTTAAAATGGATTATTATTTACAAAATTAAATATCCAAGCAACAGATGAAAAAATTTATATACAATTTTTAGAGGTAAGGCCTCAGGAATCCTTTAAACAACATAAGCAAATATAGTTCCCCCAGGGGAAAAGACCCAAGGAAACATTCAAAGCTACTTTTCCAAATACTTGTGACTTAGTCCAACTTTTAGTACTTATTAACCTCTTGATAATTATATTAGGACACCAAGCTGCCAATAGGTCGACATTGTAATTAGAATTTAAAATAACTTAAGACAATAATTGTTAGTAGCATTAGCATATAATATAAATGCAATATATCATCTAAAGAGTTGAAAGCTACTTGTTATATGGGAAGGCTTGCTTATATAGGACCTAAACTTTCAATAAATTATATCATGACATGATTTCAAACCATGAAACATAAGTTTCTTACCAAGATCCTCCAGTGTTGAAGGTTCTTTTTCTTTAGGCGTACTCTTAGCTCCATTGGATTTATCTTCACTTCTTTCATCCTTCTTATAATCATTTGGCAGAAGGTCAGGACCAATGTCCCGCACCCAGCTCGCAACATATAACCTAGATGCCTTCTTCAATACCTAAATAAAATGAAAAGCACTAACTAAGCACTCACCAACCAATTTAACCAAAATAGATTGAGAGCATAATTTAGCATTCCAGTTCATAAACTAATAACCATACCTAAACACGTTAAAGAAGGCATTACAAAAATGAATTCACAAATCTCCAAAAACCAATCTATCCTTTGCTGCCTTGTACAGATACATGTTGAAAACCCCATAAAAACAAAGAACCGCCGCGAATCGCACAATACACTACTGAATAATCCTCACCGAGATAGACTGCAGTCAATCAATGCGAGGAAATAGTAATACTCACAAAAATCCAATCCTGCATGGTCAATTTACGTTGCTTTTCGACACGATGAGGAGGATCCGGCAAGGAAGACGGGAACGCAATTTCTTTGAGATCGTAGCGAATCTAATCGTACACTTTCCTACATATTACCTTCAACTTCATTTTCGATCTCCAAAGCCATTGCAAATACCACATATAAGAACGTATGATTAGCAAAGGAATCAGCCATTAGAGAGAGGACGAAGAATACCTGTGAGTTTTGTTGCTGAAATCCGGACGGCGGTGCGCGGTGCCGGTGAGGCGAACTGCTATGAGCTACTGTGATTAGTGAAGGCGGGGTTTTGGCGGGGTTTTGGCGAGGTTTGATGCTGATGTGGCTTTACAGTTTCGGGGTCGATTTTAAGTTCCAATCCGAATACCCTCGAATTTGAAATAATGTTCATCTTCGTCCATTAATCGCAAAAATAAGTACTTAAGTTCTATAACAATTCTCAAACTTTCAAAAATAGATCAAACCAAACATAAATTAAACTAAGGATTAAAATTTTAACTTTTTTATTGGTCGCAACTCTCAATTGGCATTAAGATGAATACATAAAACTAATGTGATAGTAGTACTATTGTTTTGGTGATACATTAGTTAATTAAAGTTAATGTTTTATTTGTTTTGATTGTTAGGTACAATTGATAATTTTAAATTTGTTGTCAAGGATAAAATTAAAATTTTTGTTGGGCATATTTGACTTAGATACTAGAAACATGAAACTTGTGCATGGGTAAAAGTTGGCTACCTTTGGTATACACACTTTAATACTCAAGTCAACAATATTCTAGTAAAAGTCATGGAAGGAGGAAAAGGAGAGAAAATGGAGGAAAATGGTGTAGAAGATAGGGGAAAATCACCTTTGAGTTGAGAAAGAAGGCTCTTTTTATAGTTTATATATTTTAGTGAAAATCTATTAGGTATATGCACTTGATTTATCGTATTCATTAAAAACTTGTAAGAAAAGTGCAATTATAACTATAACAACCAATAAAGATATGTCATGTGATTATAAGGACAAGGAATGTCTCTTAATAATTTCTGACATTGTTGGACTTGTCTACATTCATATGTGGACCCCTATTGTACTTGGTATTTTTTTTGTCTTATCCTACTTGTTGGAGGTGTTGTATCTACGGTGACTAGTTAGAGGTTTTAACTATACTTAAGTCAAGTTAGCTAGGCAGCTCCAAGGTAAGGTTCCAACCATACCCAAGTTAGGTTTGTGTAGCTTCATAAGTCATTTGTAGAGCTTTCCAACTAGGCTTTGAGAGCCCTAAAAGACTTAACTCAATCAAGAATCTTTAAAAAAAGATCCTTAGGTCCAATTAAATGTGTGCTCTTAGAGATTTGAAAGCCAATTCCTAAGTCCATATGGATCAATGAGGGCCTATCACATATAAGAAGTATTTTACCTGATATCAATAGCTATTTAAAACCACTAATAAGAGTTTGGTTGAATTAGTACTTATTAACTTAAAATTTTGATTTGAAATTAAAGTTAGAGAGGTTCAAACAACTAACTCTCTAATGTATTAAAAAAAATTATAGCTTAAAATCAATTAGTAAACTAATTGAAATTAACCTATAAAAATATTTTTTCAAACATCCAGCCAGTTTTTAAGGAAAAAAGACAAGTTACTGATATTCTATAATTGGCAATAAAAAATGCAAATCCTCTAAACCACCCTTAATTTCTTGTTCTTCCCTCGTTCCTCTTTTTATGGATCATCTCATCTCTTCCCCTGTCATAATCAAGAGACAACTCTGCTACGCCATTACCGTCCTAACAATCTCCACCTCTGCCCTTCTTCTCAATCTCAGGGGCTCTTTTGCACCACTATCTGTCCTCCGTTTCGGTTTCTTGTCGTGGGGAAAAACGTGTGATTATTCTTACGGCAGATGGGTTCCGGACCAAAGATCCTCGCTTCAACTTTACGCCGAGAGCTGCCCGTTTCTTGATCCCGGCTTTCGGTGTCGGAAGAATGGAAGAAAAGACGTAGAGTATCTCAAATGGAAGTGGCAGCCACACGGCTGTGATATTCCCAGGTACGAAAATATGAAGTTTTCGCATCAAGTTTTTGGACGTCCTTTTTAGCACACCATATGATTAGCTGTTTAACGTTGCGGAGGTTTAAACTCCCAATCTTAACCTCGAATCAGGATTTCTAAGCAAGTTTTTGGACGTATATTTGTTCATGAAGTTTGTTCAAGATTGTGCTTCATTCTCCTCTGGTCCACTCTTCTTGATTTCGACAGCATTTTTTCACCACTACTACCATTTCCTCTCTTTTTCTCTTCCATGTCACTCGCTTTTGCTTCTCCTTTTTAAAATCTCTTTGTTGTCTGCGTTTTTTTTTTTTCCCAAACCTCAGATTCAACGCTAGCGACCTTCTAGAAAGAAGCCAGAACGGAAGGATAGTGTTTGCTGGCGATTCTCTGGGAAGAAACCAGTGGGAGTCTCTGATATGCATGCTTGCAGAGGCAGTCCCAAACAAGTCAACCATTTTTGAAGAAAATGGTAGTCCAATAACAAAGCACAAGGGCTTTCTCTCGATGCGATTCCTTCACTATAACCTCACAGTGGAGTATTACAGAGCTCCTTTCCTAGTCGTGGTTGGTCACCCTCCTCAGGATTCACCCTCCCAAGTTAGGATGACAGTTAGAGTCGATGAGATTAGCTGGTACTCTAGACGCTGGACAGCAGCGGATGTTATCATTTTTAATGCAGGACATTGGTGGAACGAGGATAAAACCGTTAAAATGTATATCTCTCTGCTTCTCTCTCTTTTCCAGAATAATTGTTGTCCAAGTCTAGTGAAGGAAGATATCATTCTGTGTTTTTAGGGGCTGCTACTTTCAAGAAGAAGGGAAGCTGAACATGACAATGGAAGTGATGGAGGCTTTTCGAAGGTCTCTACAGACATGGAAGTCATGGGCAATACAGAATTTAAATCCAGGAAAGAGTCATGTTTTCTTCCGAAGTTATTCCCCAGTACATTACAGGCAAGTCAGTTCAATAGTGTCTTAAGGTTAGATCGCACCTCCCATTTGATAAAAATGGGATAACTTGACAATGTAATATTGTATGATGAATCCTGGTTCTGCCGTGTAAATTGCAGGAACGGCTCATGGAATGAAGGAGGCCTCTGTGATGCAGATACTGAACCAGAGAGAAACTACACAAAGCTGGAAACTGATCCTTTGACTAATCAGTATATTTCTGATGTAATAAAAGAGATGAAATACAGTAATAGGAAGGTACAGTTCTTAAACATCACATATCTGACAGAATTCAGGAAGGATGGTCATCCTTCACGTTATCGCGAGCCAGGCACTCCTGCAGACGCTCCTCAAGACTGCAGCCATTGGTGCCTACCCGGAGTACCAGACACATGGAATGAACTTCTTTATTCTCACTTACTAAAGATGGAATTCAGAACCAAGTAATGCACCAAAAAAGAGAGGGCAAAAGATGAAGAGAAAACTATACATTACCCCATCTTAAGTGAAAACTCCAACATTAGAGGGTGTTACATGATCTTGGACCACTATTCAGACTACTTCCATAATGTTTTCTTCAGGGTCTGTTTCACTGCTTTCCATTTGCTTAACCTTCTCAAGCTGCCTCAAGAGATCTAACCTTTCTGGTCCATATGTTGACGGTATCTGCAAAAGAACAAACAATTAGTCCTTGTGTAATGTGAATATAACATCTGAAGAAGCTTAATATATGCTAGAGTGACCGCCCACCAAAGAAGGGACATATCTCTGAATAGCAGCCAGAATTGCTGCATGTCCAACAGCAGTAACCTGCAGGGCACAACCCATCTGTTAGACAAGGTCAAAGGTGTTAATGTGAAGAGAATTTGTATCATATGGTGATTTGAATTCTAACATCTAGGGAAAGCTCCTTTGGTCACTTACACAAAAGAGAGTTTGGGCTTTTGACCTTTTCTGGATACTCTTTTCTTAGGGTTCCTTGAATGGTAATTACCCGTCTATAGAACTATTCCTAGAGTGAATTACAACCATAAGAGTCATAAATCTACCACTGCACAAAAGGCAGAAAAGAACGCTACTTGGTATGTGCCATAACAACAATTAAATGCACAGATTTCCTGAGAAAATTAAGGAAGAGCATTTCTTTAAAAGTCAATTTTTCCATCGACCAGTCACAACCAGTCACAAGACTCACAACCATTGCACTTCCAAAGTTGGCAGGAAACTCTAAGCAATGAGGTGAGTGGTGTGATGCAGTTGTTAAGGGCCAAGAATGACTAAGTAATGATTCATTCATCAGTGAATGCAGGGTTGACAAACAAGCATCATATTTGAACTTACAGGAAGAAGCATTAGAACTCCAATGGGAACAACTGATGCCAAGTCAGTCAGAGTTCTTTGGAGGGCTTTCTTTTCTTTCTCTGTTAATTCATCTCCTATCAGGACCCTTCTAAGCAACCCCATGGCTGCAGCAACATCTATAGCTAGAAGCTGAGTTCCTTGCAAGACATCCTGCACAGTGATAAATGACTCAGATTTTGGCACTCAAGGAAAATAAGCAGTTTGGGAGTTTAAGTTCACATGCCAACAAAACTGAAATTCTTAATAATCAATTCCATTCATCAGAAAAAATCTCAGATCAACATTCTTCCAAGAATCACAAAAAATGATGGAAAACATCCACAACCTGCTTCCACATGCCCACTGACAATTACTTGAAAATTTTGCAGTCAAAGAATGGCCTCTAAAGATAAATCTGCCATTTTATGCAAATTAGAATGAAAATTTTGGTGGTATACAGATAATCATACCGTGCTTGTTTTTTTTAGCTTGTCTAATGACTTCCCTATAATATTTTCTTTCTTCTGAAGCTGAAGCAATTGAGGACGTCCCAGGTCATTACTAGAATGAGGGAAATCATTTGTAATCTTTATCTCCTGAAATAAATGAAAATGACAAATAGAAACATCATCTAGGGAATCAAAACTATTTGGTTAAATTCTAAATTGACATAGATAAAGCTCAATGCAGAGTAGTTGATCAAACCAAAAAGTAGTAGGAAGTCAATGCGTCCCATGTTCTTATACTGTAAGAACCAGCTACAGGTTCAGATGTACCTCTTCATTTTCTGATTGATCAGCACTTCTTCTAACACATCTTTCAAGTTCCATTAGCTCATCCCTTAACTGTTTGAAACGGTATATTTCATTTGGTTCTGTGCCCACAGCACCTGTATTTGAAGTATTCTGCTGAACAACTTCATTTCCCTGCAAACATCAAATAAATTCCACATGACATTTCCTTCAACATAGCTGAACAATTTGAAAAGGTACGATAAATCCTTGAAATTATTTAATCATATTGATAGAACCATGAACAAAACATGAGTTTTCGATTGCTTGTCAAGACAGAACATACAGATTTCTCCACAGCTGATAACTCAGCATTAGAACTTGTGACTGGAACGCGTGCTAAGTAACTCCAAAATCCACGAGATTTGTTCATGGATCTGAGCGGACAAAAATCCAAATAATAAAAATAGCAGAACACTGAAACTTTCAAACATTAGCATTTAACATGAAGCTCCTAACATGTAGGGAAGAGCAATAGCCTATAGCTCACTGTCCCACTGCACAACTTTCTACCTGTTGCTTCCATCAAGCGTCATATTAGCACTCTTTCTCTTTCTTCCCTTCAAGTATTGTTGCCAGTCACTGGTAGAGGACTTGGAACTACCATCATCAACATCATCATCATCATCATCCTGAATGAGAAATGATCATTCATGAATTACAACTAAAGCCACAAAAAATGTTGTAGTATGCATACAACTGCATAACCAAGGGGCAGGGCTGACATGATTTGAGAATAATAAACATTTAATTACCTGAAAAGTCCCATAATTTGACCCTACTTATAAATGTAAATCCTGTAGTTCTAGAATTAACACAGAATCAACCATCATTAAAATCTGTTAAATACAAGTGGAGATACACTTACATTTAGGAGGCAAGAAGTACAGACATCTTACTTATCATGTTCATCATGAGCAGTGTGAATTAATAGCAGAGAATTTACTAGATGTGTGCATTTTTATTCCTTGTTTTCTAATTCCTGTGGACAGCAAGTTACACAGCAATACAAATAAAGGGTGGAAAACTGGTGTTGGATATTTTAAATGTGGGATTTAAGACGTTTATTGTATTAAACAACAGGTTTTCTCCAAAAACATGCAAGTTGGACCATAAATGATTATTCTTGTACTATTGCTATTTAGGAAATATTTAAAACAAAAGACAAAGAGGAAAATAAAATTAGACAAAGAGGTGGCATAAGCACAAATTACAGTACTCAGCTTGCTAAAGGAGGTTATGAGAGAGTTTAGAGAAAATAGACAAATTAATAGGGACAGCATAATTATAGGACATGTATTTTTCCAATATATATATATATATATATAGAGAGAGAGAGAGAGGTGAGGTACCTGTCGAAGCGATGCTGCTTTTGCTCTGAAGGATGCTTCCAGAAATTCAGCCTCTTTCTTCAGCTTCCTTATTTTCTCAAGGTCAGAACAAGCAGCTTTTATTTTCTCTTTTCCAGAGTAAGAACTTGAAACATGCAACTCTTGAAGCAAATTCTCCAGTCTATTTAGGGCCTCTTCTACACTCTCTAAGGCCTGAAACAAATGCCATGAGATTGATCAGAAACATTTGAAGTCTCAAATAAAGACATATCAACTATGAGAACAAGAATCCAATTGCTGGCAACTACCTTGCACGGTTGCATTTACGTGTGGATACCATCAATCTAGAAATAAATGAAATAAGCACCTGCATATGCATGTTACATACACATCATTGTGTTGTGAAATAGACATTGCATGGTTTCTTGCTTCTCATGTAAGTTTTTCCTCTTTTCTTTCTTTTCACATAAAATCAAGCATTTAGCTAGTTATTTGGCTCTCTCATACAACATTATATGTATTAATGGAAGTCAATCTCTACTAACTTATGACATTCATACCAAGCACCAACAAAAGACAAATCAATGTTTCACAAGTTCATTGTGACATGACAACAGAAGAACCTGTGTCCTTTTCTTTCTCAGGGAAAAAAGAGTCTGTTAACTCAAAGCTACAACCATCGAAACATGGGAAACAAGGGGAAAACATGATGAAGTAAGATGCAACTCTTCCCTCCATAATGGATTATATCTTGTGAATCTGTGCAGGTGTCTAATATAAATCAGTATGGCCCAACCATCTAACTGCTTCACTAATATTGGAGGTTAATTTGCAATCTTAGGTTTACTCAGGATTGGAATACTAGATCCAGTTAACACTTACCAACAGAAACACAACACAAACTCAATAGCATACTTACTACCATCACCACACTGGCAACTGTCTGTGCTGAACTACATATAATTTGCTTTGAAATAAATTTGAATTAAAAGGGTTAACCTTATCAAAAGAATCAGAGTCCTTGTCAATTGCAGATCCAGTCCTCTCAACATATATAGTTTGACGTCCACTCCTGCCAGACATTTTATCACCATGTACAATAACTAACTACCAATCATTTTAAATAAGAGATCATTTTTCAAAGAGCATACAACATTTATAGTATGTGAAACCCATGATATAAAAAATGAATTCGAATTGCTAAAAAATCTGGTGCTAAGCATAATTTACTGTATACAGAAATTACAGATATAATGCTAAATAAATAAAAAGAAAAAGATCCCTGAAAAATGATAAAAACCAAAAGCATGTAGAAATTTCAGTAAACACATAAATGAGAAGGAATCAGTGGTCTAACAAACTCCAGTTACATCAAGTCCTGTCAATTCATAAATAGCATTGGTTGATTGCCATGAGTGTGTGTGAGCTTGCATGTTTTGTGCAATTACGTGTTTTTTTTTTTTTTGGTGAGTGCGTGTGTGCACTCACGTGCGTGAGAGAGAAAGAGAGAGAGAGAGAAAGATGAGTAAGGTTTGGCTGCCTTTAACTTACTTCGATATCCTTAGTTCTTCCATGCACTCCACTAACTTATTGTGCCTAAAACATGAAGAATACATTGTTTTGTTAAATATTTTGGTTAAGATTCAGTTCTTTCTTTAAGGTTTAAATATTTAAAATCATTAAGTCCATTACCCCCTAGACAAGAATCTTGTGGCCTTAACATTAGAAGGATTTTCCAACCATTTACTGTATTTTATAAAGCTCTGCATCCAATGAGAACAAACATCTAGTACTTCAGAGATAGCTTCAGCATTAGGAGGACCTTCTCGTTTGCTTCTATGACTATGGGACTGTTTTGGGATGTCATTGTTGCCTGGATAGAAGGGGAGCCAATCAAGCTCTTCACAAACAACCTATATGAATGAAAAAGTACCATGAGATACAATATTTCACATGAAATAGATATTAATAGGCAATAAACATACATGCTGACCTCTACATACAATTGATAAGAACTTATTGATGACAGTTGAGGATAACATAACACACTGCCCCCTATTAGATACCTGGGTCCAAAAGCAACCATGTTAAAACACATATATAAAGCAATATACTTGATGCCAAAAAAAAAAATGAAGAATATGAAGATGAATTTAATGAAATAGAAGCTACCTAATGAAGGATTCAATTGGCTCATCTAAAACTTCAAATCCATTTGCAGATAGAAAAGACTGTGTACTTCTCCCTAAGGCAATAAAAAATCCAAAAATTGCCAAATCCCTGTCCAATACCTGCAAGAAATCAGAATCACTTTCAATGACAACTTCCACGCAGTCAAAAGGTCAACACTGTGCCCCCAATATCTGTAGTTATACAAGTCCCCAATAAACTATTAACCATTTCACTTCTTCAAGCAATCAATCACATTTAATATAAAAGATATTTTTATTCAAAATAGAATATATTATATTCCAAAGTTACAGGGACTGAGGTGCATGAAACTGATACTTCAGCACAAAAGCCTCAAACGTTCACAACAACATTTTTAGCCTACAAGAAAGTTGGTTTTGTTTTAGCGTAACTAAACACCCATATCCAGCAAATTACAATCCATGCAGGTTGAAAACAAAACATGTTAGCAAATTCACACAACCATGTTAGCAAATGCTCTCAATTTCACTTCTAACCTCAATGCTTTCGGAGGTTGTTAGCCTTGACCATATTTTCTCTCTATCTATAGCTTGCTGCAGTTGCTTCTGTACAAGATTCACCCAAAAACTAACCTCCTCAGAACCATGGTCATCTTTTACTCTACATTCCCCAGCTCGAGGGCCAAAATGAACAAGGAATTCTCTTCTTAGACCAATATCTTTTATAGAATGATAAGCTTGACGTAAAGGAACAAAATCAGCCAGCATATCCATCAATTGACCAGTAATGTCAGGAATTGTGGAAAAGAAATGCAAGCAAGAAATTTTAGCTGGGCCAAGTTTTTTGATTGCAGCAATGCAAGTCAGTGCAAGCATGAGAAGTGATATATCTCTTGCACTCCCTGCACCCAAGGATGTTCCCTTGCCATACCTGGGAGAAAATCAAAAGAATCACAATATCTAGTAGAGTTCCAGAGTCATCAAGAGAGAACCTCATAGAAACATGCAATGAAGGGCGACTTACATGGAAGTGGCGGCAGTAAACCATGGTCCCTCCTCAAAATAATTAACAAAGGATGACACAAGCACAGGAACTTGCTGAGACAAAAGCCAATCATAAGCTTCAGGTTGTTTGGCTGATAATTTCTCCCTGATTAAGCTCTCAAGGGGAGCAGCCAGCCTCAATAAGCTGCACAAATGTAATGTCTATAAATGTTACCAGATCAAAAGAGAGAGAAAATATAGGTTAGTTGAAACTTAAAAAGTTATGTGGTAAGAAATATATAAATAAACATCATGAAAACTGTAACTATGATGGAAATTGAGAAAGGAAAGAGAAAGTTTGTAATTTTACTTAACTAACCATATAATATTCAAATGCAGTTATTAAGTGGGCTAAGCAACAATAAGAAATAGGGCAAAATATAAAAGATTGTTTTAATTTACTCTACCAATCCCCTTAACAGTTCAGATCAGATCATGAAGGTCATTTCATCATTTTTGTCTAGAAATAACCAATTATATAACAATTAACAAGAGAATGACAGCAAAAGATTTTTTAAATCTTGAGCATCTCTTTATAAATTTTGGAACTGACATTATGAGAACAACCATCATGCTATTGATAATTTAAAAGAAACCAAGAAAGTCAATAATAAATAAATAAATAGAAATAAAATGAAGAGGATTAGATGTTTTAATAAGCTATAACAAACTGAAGTTCTCATTGATAAAGCTTTTATGTGTAAATTGAAGATATTTCAAAAAATGATTATAAAGACTAAAGCAGGCACACAAGCCATAAATTTGGCAAAATTCACGTAGGATGGATACTTAGTGGGCTGCACAAAGAATGAGATATGAAACCATGCATTTCATTACCTCCTCTGGACAAAGACATTTATATCCCTGTCTCTACCATTACCCCTGGAGGAAATCTCAGTTGCAGCTTGCAACAATGAATACACAGCGGCCTGAAAAAAATTCATGACAATTTGAATAACATAAATGAAACTTGAAATAAAAATGCTAGAGATCCATCAATTAAATCCCAAGATAAGTCTTACCAAATGGATCTTGCTTTTACTTAATAAGGCATACATATAATAGTGCCAACAGAAACAATGCATGTACATGCACACATAAATACATATGTGCTCATGTATGTATGCACATATGTGCATAACAAAACAATCATGAATGTATGCACATATGTGCATAAGAAAACAAAACAATGTGTTTGTATGTATGTGCATATGAAAAAGAAAAAATATTTATGTGAAATTAAAGTCAAGAAAAAGAAACACCTAGTGAGACAAAAAACTAGATATAGGCAACATAAGTTATCGTATGATTTTTCAATGATATATGACCACTTCAATAACACCTAAACAAAAATATGATTAGTTAGTCATATCAGGCCTACATCCCCAGGCAGAGAGTGCAAGCACAATATATACATTGGATAATGAGTAGTATGTCTGCTCAAAAGCTTGATCAATTGTTAATTCCTTCAACCCAAACCAAACTCTGAAGGGCTTGCATTACTTTTAGTTAATGTCAATTAACGAAATTTATGCTAAACAAAGACAGCTTTTAGCATCACAGTGATTGAAATCCATTAATGCAGTGGATAAGGCATTTCACATAGCATTATATTCTATTTATGTTAGCAATTAAATCGCAGAAGTCCAACAAACATAAGAGGAAATTTCTTACAAATACTAGTGTTAGATAAAGAACGTGGTAGTTATGGAGGCCTCACAGCAGCAAAAGTAAAAGACACTGACACAGTTAGAATTGTAACAATGTGCCAGAAAAAGCGAGAGTGGAAGGAGCAGAGAAAATATCAATGATAATAATACAGCTGAAACAGTGGATTTGGTAGATAAGTTGGCCAACATACAGATGTGCAGTAGTGGTTAATGCAGTGATTTCATCATTAGCAACAGAATATGCTCATTAACATCTTTATTCATTATATCCATCCAACTTCTTGGTCTATCAGAATATCCAAGAGAAGCATGGCTTACATTTTCTGACAAATATCTCTTACAGCTGAAGATAGAGTTCAATGGCATAAAGGACTAAAATTATCTAAATATGAACTAAGGTTTCTGCATAACCAGATTTAAATTACTGGAATGCATCTTACTATCAAAATATGAACCACCATACATCAAGACAGTAATTCAATCTAGAAAGAAAAGAAGTGGGGCAACAAGACAGAGAAAGTCAACTTATTCACAACAATTCAATCTACCCAGCACGCACTGCATAGCGTGATGGACAATCAGAAAACATTAACATGGTTTCTGAATGGTGCTATATAAAATTTGAAAATAATAATAATAATAATAATAATAAAAAATAAAGATTTAAAGAGTGTTTCATGAAATACCTGATAAGATAGTGTCTTCAACCACACATTCCTGTCTACTCCAAGCCAAGCTGTTGGAAACCAAGATAGTTTTGAAATTGAAACTTTTTCTCTAATTGATACCTCAAAAATCCTGGCTGCATCATGTAAAGACTGAACAAGTCCATAGCTGTAATCCTCGCCTTGCCATGACTGTTTTAGTTTGACCCGCATCTCCTCTAATTCAGAACTTGTACTACCTTGAAGGCTGCCATTGACAGTAATACCATCTTCAGTGGATGCAAGGAGGGAACGATGTCCCTTCCTTCTTGATTTACTGAAGGTAGCATAATGTTTCCTATAACTTCCCAGCCTGAAATTAAGATAATGGTTTCCATTATCTGATGAAGCAAGCCTTATAAGACATTTCTTCCTCGAACTGCCCCAAGTAGACAACAGAAAGTCCAAGTTAGCCATTTTTTTGCATGAAGCATGGTTTCCAATTGAATTTCGTGAAACCAACAGATTTGAAGAGCTGCCAATACAAAATCCAAAGATAAGCTGCTGCCACACATGAATTCTTCACTAAAATCAGTAATGGGCATGCAGTCAGCTTCAACATCCCATATGAAAATAACCAATTTCTTAGGGTTGTTACCAAAGACAGTAAAACATGATTTCTTTATTCCATTCTATTTCCTTCTTTAGAGGGTTCATAGTATCTAACCCTGTAATCCATAAACCAAAATCCAACTCCTATTAACCCTTAATACACGGATATTTTTTTCTATTGGAGGATATAGTAAGAAGCAAACATAATTAAAACTTCAATTGATAAGGCAATCTGCATATAAAATTGCCGCAACAGAAAGAGTTGTTTCAATAACAGCCTTCAAATTCATGCTGATTACTAAGTTCAAATACAACTTAACAGGATTCCAGAACATAAATATCAGAAAACAGAGCACTACTGCAATTGACATAATTAGGCACCAGGCGAAACGCGGCCACAGCTGGCGACTGCATTCTTCTAAACGAGATCAGGGAGAGTAAGAAATAAAGTACAGATTCTCCTCTAATCAATATGAATTAAATTACTTAGAAAAAGAGAGAAGAAGAAAAAGAAGATAATCCAGCAGCACCAGAATTGATTTGACTGATTCAACGACCAAAAAACAGTATTTTACTCTACTCTTCTCCACCTTTCCTCAGCTTTCTCCACAACAAAAAAATTATTTCAATAGAGAAGAAAAAGTTATTGCGAATTGCAGCACTGAATTCTTCAAAATAAAACCCTAGCATTCATGAATTGCTCCGCGAAAATCATGCTCGAGCTATCAGATATAGATAAATAATGATCTACAAAATAGAGAAGGAAAAGAAAAAGAAAAAAAAAAAAATCTAAGGACCTTGAATGGTAGAAGCCATGACGCTGCAACTTAATTGACATGAAGGAATAGAGACAGGGAGTGAATTAGAGGGAAAACAGTGTCTTGTAGGCGAGAAAATGCAGGAAAACGGTGAAATATAGGAGCTTGTGTTGTTGTGTACAGAGAGAAGAAGGGTGAAGTGCCGAGTCGCGGGTTATCTGAGTACGTGGAGAAGCGAGGTATCACAGAAGGCGTTTCTGTTGAAAATTGAATTTGTTATTTGTTAGGCTGAGGCTGCCCGCGAGTTGACGGACTGGGACAGTGAATATGATATATTATCGACAACTTATTTTTTAAAAAAAAATTCCAGACGCATAGAATATGATGAGCATAGACGCATAGACTCTGAAAGTTATGAGGCTGATGATTAAATGAAATCCTTGTGAGAAGGAGTATTTTGTGTAAAAAAAATATTGTACAACAAAAATAGTTAAATCATTTTCATTTATTTTCATTTCTATTTGACTTTATTTCCTTCTTTAGTTGAGATTTTATCCTCATTAATATTTATTTATCAGCAATATTATACATGAAAATTTTTCAGCAAATGCATATCACCGATTCACCGGGGAAAAAATAAGGACGTAGATACAGTGCCAAACGAAAAACTCACCTTCAGGAATTAAGGATGCCCATTTAGGCGTGCCAGGGCGCACATCTACATGCTTGTTTGTATACCGACTGGCTGGCTGGTTGCATGTGCGAGCAAGCATGTGCAGGAGTGTTCTGTAAGGGAAAACATAAACGAATCCAACCATTTCCGGATCATGACTGCCTCAATATCCCTAAATAAGACACAGAAAAACTCCAATTCCTCCAAAAGCTAACTTCTCTATTTATGTCATAATGTCTTACTAGATTAGTTAGTACTAGGATGATACTAGCATAATCCTAAACAATCTGTGATACTGGCATCATACAACTTGAACAGTCAAACATAAGGAAAAGACATCGCTACCACTACTATTACACACATTGGAAACAGACTCAGTTATTAAGCCAAACTTCTGATGCTTCCAAGCGACAAGTGAAGCTGAAGGCAGCAACTTTCTCGAACCAGATGAGTATAGGACAGAAAGGTCTTGTTTTGCAATTATTTGTGAGATAGCAGCACATGAGATATACAAAAGCTTGTTCTTTTTTTTCTTTCTTTCTTTCTTTCGTTTTCTTTTCTCCCTTTTTTTTTTTACAAGCATTCAGTTCTCTACAGAATCTGCCTAAGTCTGTTGCTGCTTTAAAGTGGCTCAAGAATTTACACCTTCTGCAATGCCTGGCAGAACATGTCAATGAAATGATCATCCTGGCACACAGCAAAATAAGGAGTTAGTCCATAAATAGAAGCTTTTGGTCCAGGGGTGTGTGAATGTGCATGCACATGTCTACATAAACAAGAGACTTGAACCGCATCTTAAGCATCTCAGACCAAGTTCAGTCCTCATGAAATACCATTCAACAGGAACCAAGACATCCCTCTGAACCCAGTTATTCCCACCCATCCTCTTATTTTTCAAGAGCAACAGCATCTCTAGTGTCACAACATACAGATGCGTCAATAGCATTCAACACTCAAGACCAGGGAATGAATCCACAATAGTAAGCAGATTTATAGTTGTCTCCTGTTACTCTAGTGTACTGACAAGCAAATTTCTTACTGAGAATTGCTGCAAAAACCATGAGAAACCAATCCAATATTGAAACAACATGGTCTGTATCGGACCTGTGTCAGACACAAATGACCCACGCACTACTAGGATTGACACCATTAATCATTTTATGAAATTACTTAAAAAATACCAACATATCATAGCACTAATGTTCTTTTCTAGTAGCAAACAAAACAGAACGTCATAGAACACCATCAACAAAGTAAGCCCACAGTTCTTCCACCCACACTAGCGCAAATTTTATAAAAGGACATAATATTTATACCATGGAAAATAAAAAAGTGATAATGATTAAAAATAAATTCTGCCCATTATATGTTTTTGTATAACTTTTGAACATTATTAACACAAGGACAATTTGTTATTTTCTTAAAAACTTGAACATTGTAACCACTCTGTCTAACCAAGCAAACTACAAACAATAACTTAATTGTTAGAATTGAAACCACATGTTGCACTCACTATTGTTCTTTTTCTTTTTTTTTTGAAAAGACTGTTGCTATTGTTCAAAATGACATAAGTTAAACTTGCCCTAAATGCTATTAGTAGCATGTTTTTTACAATCAAATAATGAGCTATTTTTTATGCAACAAAGTAAGGTAAAAATATGGAAATAAGAGGAGAGAAACGATGCAATTACCTGAACAAGTAACAAAAGTGCATTTTGAACTTTGTCTCTGCTAATTAGAGTTCCATGATTCATAGATGAACTGATAGGAGTAAGAGACTGAGGTGGAGTTGGCGGTGGAAAAGGCTGAGGCACTGGGGTACTATGTTGACGATGCAAAGTTAGAGGTGGATGAAAACCAGTATTTGGACCTGATGAAGAGAAAGGTGGCATTACAAGTGAGGATGCCAATGAGGGTGGTGCAAGAAATGAGGAGGGCTTCACGAGATTAGGTATTGGATTATTACTGCTTATGGGATCAGAAGTTTCCTGAAGACTAGTTGGAGCATGTGAAATCGAAAGTGAAAGGGATGGGGCAAGTGGAACAGGGGCATGTGAGGAGACAAGACTTCGTGAATGGGACACAAGTGGTATGGTTGAAGAAGAATGATAGGGCTGTCTCAAATTTGTTACATTTGGAACAGTAGTTCCATGACCTGGTGCTGCCTGCAAAAACAGAACCATTAGCAACAAAAGTATTGGAGACTGAAAGGCAAAGAGACAACCGTCAGCAGAGTATTTACACCAAAAAAATTAGCAAGGAATGAATCTTCAGAAGCATCAGCGGCAGTTGAAGTAGTTGATGATGGCTCCAACTGGTCTTCTATCCCCGAGATGCTAGGAACTGCTTCAAGTTCCTCAAACCCACTGCATTGAAATGTAACACAGATCAAGAACCATGGCATAAGAATAATTTAAGAAAAAGATTCAGGCGCAATTTTTATCCATTAAGGCATTGCACAATCAGATATAAACTATGTGGTAGAGATTTACTACAGCTAATAACCCATACCATTCATGGTTACAAAAAACAGACACATCCTAGTTCTGCAACAACCATGATTCCAAGATATTAAAGAAGAAGCATCCCATTACATAGTTTGCTTGTATGTGGACAAGCAAACTTACATTATAACAGCTGAGGACATTAAATAGTTTAAAAAGCACAGGGTATAAAAGCGGATAAAGGTTCAAGTGCTAATCCAAGTAGAAAAAAATGGTTCCAACATAGCTTAGGACTCATGATGTTGCTCAAAGACGCTTCTTAAAGGTCATTACCTTTTGCTTGAAGGTACTTTTGGCTTTGAGGGAACCTTGGAGTATGTGTTAAGTATCCTGTAAAGAAGACAACAAGTAAAATGGTATGACTTTTTTGGGATAAAATGGTACTCCCTCTGTTTCAAAATAAATGACATTTTAGAGAAGAAATCTTGTTTCATATTACTTGACCTTTTGAGAAAACTAATGCATCATTAATTCCTCTTTTCCAACTTTACCCCCACTAATCATTAAATGCAGAGAGATTATTGCTTAAAATCAAATACACGGTAAATTTCAAAAGGGAATTTGGGAAGTTTAGTCTTTTATACTCCTCTAATTAAAGCTATTATTTAACTTTCTTAATCTGTGTACAACTTCTTAGAAGGTCATACATTTTAAAACTGAGGGAGTAGAATTTAATCCACCTAATAAGAATGCATACCAACCAAAATTGAGATTTGGCCAATCATTAAGAAAGATAACATACCTACTAAACAGATTAGCAACATCCTCGCATTCCTTTGGATTGTAAAACCAAATGCCATTAACTTCTTGAGAAGCATTACGATACAACAGGTATGGTTTCTGAACTTCATATTCAAAATCACCAAGTAGATTCTCCACTAGATTATCTGTTTGTATAAACATGAAAATGAAAAACAATATACTTGTCACAACATACAAATTTGTAGGTGCATATAATTGCAGGAACTTCCCAAAACCACCTTTTCATCAAAATTCCCATATATAAGAGTTTGAAAAGTGTTTATGTAAGACAAGGGAAAAAAAAGTAAGTCAGACAGGGAGAGAGAAGGAATCAAGAACTAAGCAATACTAATCTAATGCACTGACCGGACAATTATCCAAGCAACAGTTTCATAAGCAGAAACATATCAACTCCAAACTATAAGTTTCATGCAGCCATTCAGAGCAAAACATTATTGAAAATAAAAACAGGGACAAAGATGATCATGTAAAATGTAGTTATTAATCCATAAACTATCAAGTGCCAACTATAAAATCCAGATAAGTAAACCATGCTGGTCCTGAAACCAAATGTCTATATTTCTCAATTGAAGCCATAAGGAGCAGGATAATAAAAAGATTCCTTTAATAAAATGAAAATAAGACAAAAGATTTAAACCTGTGTTACGCCGATTCATTACAATGAACTGGAACCGAGGTTGAGCATTCCTTAAGAACAACAAATCAGCAATATTAACATTAGCTGCACCAATTTTTAATAACACCAAACTTATGACAAGAAAAATCACCAAATATGTAAAAATCATAAACCATTTTACCTCTTAACCACAAACAGAGATCCTTCCACATCCTTGCGACTCTAAATTTCCAAAAAAGAAAGTATAAATTTAATATCCTTCGACTATGTTGATATCAGACCGAAGAAAAGCAAATAGTAGAAATAGAGAAAAAAAAAATCAACTAAATATATAATAAATCAGGAGTAAAAAGAAAAAAAAAAAAAAAGTAGATCACAAGTTCTGAAAATTTTCTTTCCTTACAATACATTTTCTCGAATCTCGACAACCAAACAAAACACAAGCATGTAGAAAGCGAACTAGAAAGTTGAATCAAAGTGTCAAAACTCCAAACTTAGGCATAGAGAAAATGAATTAGGCATAGAGAAGCAATAAGAATGCAAAAGAAATCCCAGATTCCAAGCAATTAAGATTTTCTTTCATTTTCCTACACTTTCTCTGGTGAACCAAAGCGGCAGAGAAGAAAGAAATTGAAGGAAGTACCCATTGCTGGCTGGCGATGTTGAAGTCGTAGAACGTGACATGCGCAGCAGTCAGCAAAATCTCCTCGATGAAGGAATCGATTCGCTGAAGCACGGTGAGATTGAGCATCTTAGTGCTCTGTTGATCGAGATTCGGCGTCAACTTTCCGGACTGAGACATCTTCGATTCCACGCAAGAACCCTAAACCCCCAACGTCGGTTTTCCTTACAGAGAGGGTGAGTGTGAGAGTATATATTTGTGCCGTGAGGAAAGAAGCAGTGTCCTTCGCTAGTTCGCACCTTTCTGGTTAACCGAATGACGAAAAGGACCTTCTTTCTTCCCTCCCACTCCACAATAAAGAAGAATAGAAAGACAAAAAAAAAATTGATAAAATGTGTTTTGCAGCGTCTCTTATTACTTTTTAGAGACATTTTTGGGGGAAAGGAAAGTTTATTAAGAAGAAAAATAGATGAAAAAATATTTTAAAATTGTGTTATTTTAATTATTTGTTATTAAAAATATTTAAAAAAATTTAATTTTTTAAATAAAAATGAGATTTTTTTGTGATATTTTATTAAATTTTTATAATTTTAAATTTTTTTACCTAATTTTTTTTAATTTAACTAATAAAAATTAACCTCTTTCCAAAATATTATATTTTAGTTAATTTTTTTATAAATTACTAATTGTTAAATTAAAAGTTCTAGTAATATATATTATAAATGTTAATTTTTAAATAAATCTAGTATATCTAATTAATTCATAATTATACAAAATTTAATATTGTTAAATATATTAGTAAATAAAAAAATTTCAATTAAAGGGTAGAAAATGTTGGTTTTTAATCAATTTACATGAATAAAATATTTAACCTTATATTTAGTTTTTAAAAATGTTAATTATAATGTAAGTTGTTAGACATATTCTAAAAAAAATTGATAATTTGAAAGTAATGTTCTAGCAATTACACAAAAAAGGTATTATAGACATCCTAGAAAATTTTGATGCACTAAATAAATTTAATTAGGCTCTTTTCATTTGCCAAAACTTAAAACTGAAATTTCACAAGATAAAAAATGAAAAATCTAAAGAGCCCATTAATTTTCCCTTTCTTAACTGAGTTTTTGGTTCTGTTTGATAGTTGTAATTATTAACTAACAGATGATAGAAGAGTTAATTACAATATTTAATAATTTAAAATCAATTTATAAATTAATATTTTCAAATAACTTAGTCCATAATTATTTTTTTTAAAAAAAAGCTATAAACATATAAAATCATTTAAATTAGATACATAAAACCTTCATTTGAGAGGTTGATTAAAAGTTAAAACATCTATGACTAAATTGCATTATATTGCATCCCATTCATAACAACTTATAAAGTTTAGGGGAAACTACAAATGTGTTTGGAATTGTTATGAAGAGTTATGACTATAATTATAGTTGTGATTGTGTTGAATTATGTTGCATTGTATTTATGATTAAAAGTTGTTTTAGTATTTAGTTATTTATTTTTTAAAATTATTATAGATGAAATATAATAAATTTTATTAATTATTAATTAAAATTTTAAAAATATTTTATGATATATAATTATTAAAATAAATAACAATATTACTTCTTAATAATTTAAGTTTTTCAAGTTTGTTATAATGAGTGTTTTTGGAGCTTTGCAAGAGAGCCACTTATAAGAAGAGAATGAGTTTTTAAGTTTTTATGAAAATTTTAAAATAAATAAGAAGTTATATTTAAATAAAAAACTATAAATTATGATATAGTTGAACTATATGGTGTTAGATTTTAATAAGTAATTTTATAATTGTATTAAATATTAAGTATTATCCATAAAAGTTATAATAAAAAAATTTTAAAATAAAATTTTTAACTTTATATATATAATTATTATAATTCTACTATACATTTTTGCAAACTTTAAAAAAAATATAATTAAAAAAAATTACTAAACAAATATATATCTAAAAATATTATACAACTGAAAAATTCTTAACCGCAATTTCAAACACACCCTACCTCCAATCAATAGGACTATCCCGTAAAACTCACTTTGGTCATCCAATTACTCTCCCAATTTACCTTCTGTGAAATCAGAACAAAACAACCAATAATCAAAAGAGGCAAGTGTGTTTATTATTATCATTAATATTATTAATGTTAATAAGATTTTAATTTTTTCTTAAATAATATCTCAAAATATTAATTTATAAATTAATAAATCTTATTTATAATTATTATTAATAATTATAATTATTAATTTTTTTTTTAACAAATTTACAAGGGGACGGATTCAAACCGTTGCTTGGAGGTGAGATTTATGCGTGACCTCACATCACTGGACCGAAGGATCAAGGGCATAATTATTAGTTATTTTTATTTATTAAATTAAATAGAATCAATAATTTTAAAAATAATATTTGATATATTTAGTGACCATAATAAACATCGGCGGCCATAGCCGTGCTCGAGACGGATCAGCCCCGAAATGGAATGAATCAAAGGTTGAATTTGACAAGGGATTGACACCAGATGAGTCACCACCAGAGCTAAACTCATATTTTGCTTTATTATTCTTAAAAAAATTTATTTGATTCATTTAATGCAAACAGTCCGTCTGCAAATTGCACAAATTGACCAACAGGGTACATAATCTCATTAGAATTTTTTTTAATGAAAAAATCACATTAGAATTAAACTTTCATAACCTCACCAAACATAACAGAGAAACAGATTGACTCAATTGATAACAACAATTAATTAATTAATCAAAGTAATCCCTAGCCTTTTTTAAGCCGGAAAATACTAATCCCATGGTTAACTATTGCCCTTTCTACTTTTTTAGAGCCAACGCAGACAGCAGAATCAACAACATATAAGCCACGACGATAACAAACGACGCCACCACTGCGCCACTCACTTTCTGGCAGTAATCGCCGAACTGATGGCAGATGACCTGCCATTTCGTGTTGGGGTTGCCGGTGTGAGCCAGGTAGATAATTGCAGCCGCCGCGGCCGCTGCAGCAGTGGTAAAAGTCAAGGCCACCTGCAAAAATCCAAAAGAAAAATAAATTCTAAGCCAATTACATTACAAGTACTAAAGAAAGAGTTAGATATGTGATATTCTTTGTTTGAAATTTAATTATTATTTAATTATATATAATCTAAATATTCATATTCATTCTTATTGCTTTTTATTTTTATATTAGAGGATTAATTATTTAATATCATATTTAATTTTAAATTTAATCAAAAATTTTAAATTAATGAATAACAATTCAATTCGACTTGTATTAGTATATTCATTCCATCTACTAATTGTTAACTACGAACCTCTATGCCAAATATTGCCTTTATCCTAACTTTAACATCCATGATATATACAAAAAGATTATGCTTTAGAAGTTACCGTATCCATAATGAGTAGAAGAAGTCTGAGTATGACTAAAAGAGGGCGAACGATTGTTACAATGGATAATGGAAGTGAAAGGACTAGGTAGCCGCAGGAAGCTGCCATAGCTATGACGAAGAATCTGCAGACACGTGAAAGAAATTAAAGCATTGAGTATATTATGTTTGGTTCGGGAAAAATTGACTTCCAGTTTATTGAAAATATTTTTATTTTGAATTTAATAAAAATTTGACGTACTGGAACGTGGGAAGATCATCTTGACTAGCTTGAAACTGGAAGAACCGAGTGAAGAAAGGAAGAGTCTCATCGCTGGTTCCCATGATAGCGGCAGCAGACAGGGCACAGATTATACCGACTAATCTAAGAATGAAGTTGACGACGCAAACCCACTTCTTCAACTTTCCGTTCTTCAACTTTCCGTTCTTCTTCTTGGTGGCAGTGATAAGAGGTGCTTTTCTCTTCTCCCTGTCGCTTGACGACTCAGAAGAATCAGTGGAAGAAGAGAATGGAAGTTGAAGCTGTTGATTTGGAATAGAGATTATTAGAGAAGATGAAGCTTTCTCATCACTCTTCATTTTCTCGCTATAGGAGAAGAGAATGGAAGTTGAAGCTTTTGATTTGGAATAGAGACTATTAGAGAAGTTGAAGCTTTCGATTTGGAATAGAGACTATTAGAGAAGTTGAAGCTTTCTGGTGATGAAGATGGCAGAGGGAGAGAAGCCTTATATAGGGAAACAAGGTAAAATATTTTAGGCTAAAGAGATCACAAGTCTATGTATGAGGATTCCCACTCAATAGAAAGATAATACCTCAAAAACTTATACATTTCATTTTGAATTGTTATGTTGATGTGTGAAACTGATAATATTTTAATATAAAATGTTGATATTTCTAAGGCCACATTTTTATTAAATATAGAAAGAAAGTAAGGGAGTTGTTAATTTGAAAATACTATAATTATAATATTACGTTGTATTATAAGTTTATAACTTGATGTATCATTATATATAATTGGTTTCTTTACATATAATATTTATTTACATTTACATCCGCTCATGTAATATCACGTTATACTCATTTAAGATCACATTATATTCATTTAATATCATATCATAATTATAAATTTATAATTCTACTTAACATTATAGTTATAATATTGTCAATTATTGTTTATGTTCTTCACTTAAGAGTTAATATTTTTTTTGCAAACAATTTATATTTAATTCTTATTCTTTAAATTTTTTGTGGATGTGAAAATTAGTCTTTAATTAGTTGTTATAATTAGAATTTTCAGTCCCCACAGCTAAGTTGACATTTTTTGCATGAAGGTCTGTATCAACTATAGCTTTGACTAGTTGGGTTGGAGAAGGGGGAGTAGGAAATTTTGGACTTGAGTCTAACAAAGTAGTGACAAAGTACCAACTCAGAGTAGATCATTCTCTTAATTAGTCAACTGACCTCCCTAACCCAACAATGCCAAAGATATTGGTCCCCGCCTAATCCAATGAATGGGGTTTTATCATCACACTTTATGCATATTCTTTTGGTTTTTCCCCCATCCTTCTTCAAAAGATATGAATTAGAAATAGCATTTTAAGGTTTTCTGAAAAGCTGGATTGCAATGGTTAGGTTTTCTGGTTATTTTCCATTCCTTAAGAAAGAAAGACAAAGTCAAGAAAGGAAACGTTAGGTGAGTTATGTTATGAATCATAGTCATTGATAAGCATGTTCACATTTGGTCTAGAACGCCAATTGGTTAAACCTTTGTTAAAGGTGAACCCCAGCCTTAGGTTTTGGACTTAAATTCTCCTTTTCTAAATTTGTACTTATTAAAAAAAAAAAAAAAAAAGGGGAAAATGGAAAAAAGAAAAAGATAAGCAGGTTCAAATTAATGCATGTAATACTATTGTCAAATTTATAGGTTATAGTTATGTATTTTGTTTGTAGAGTTGTCTATATACTTTAATCATAGATTTAAGATTTTATTTCCTAGTCTCTCTACATATATAAAAGAATTATAGATTCCAGTTGCTGCATTATAAAGAGGGAAGGTTAAAGTATTAATTACCGTAAAACAAAGCAGTAAAAGGCTCAAAGATGAAACCATGAAGAAACTAGGAAATAGATTAAGGGTGTATTTACCATTTCACTATTAATTTAAAAGTAAATTTTACTTTAATATTAATGCCATGTGGAACAATTGAATTACACAATTAATAAAACTTAAATCAATTTTTACTTTTTTTTATGTAACTTAATAATAAAAATATATAATAAATATGTCATTAATTTGTTTTTAAGGATACACATTAAAAAACCCAAATCATGAAAATAACAAGTAGACTACAATGCCCAAAAAAAGAAAAAGGGAAAAACCCAAGTAGGCCATAATTCAGGGCCCAGAAGTCAGATCCAACTCAATTCATGCAACCCAAATGAAGCCCAACAGGTAAAATTAACTAGGGTCCAATTCTAGAACCACCTGAGCTCGACCCGATCGACCGTCGCATTTTAAATTGTTCTCCGTCTTCCCTTTCCTGCAGATTCTAGTATTCTCTCTGAAAGATGTGGGCGAGCGCGGAGGGTGGTGCTCCGGAGGTAACCCTCGAGACCTCCATGGGCTCGTTCTCTGTTGAGGTAAAAGCCACCGACTTTGCTAAGTTCGATTGATTACAGATGTTGGGTTCTTACCACTTGTGATTTCTAGCTCTGTGGTTTCTTATAATTTTTACTCTAATTACAGCTATATTACAAGCATGCACCCAGAACCTGTAGGAACTTCATTGAGCTCTCCCGCAGGGGTTACTATGACAATGTCAAATTCCACAGAATTATCAAGGTTCCCATCTATGGTCTCAGTAATATTTTTTTATTATTTATTTTTTTGGTAAAAGAGGCTTCTTTTAACTTCAATGAATAGAGAGAAGGTGATTTTGACCTTTTTTTTTTTTTGTTGTTTATTATTGTGCAGGATTTTATAGTTCAAGGTGGGGATCCAACAGGAACTGGAAGAGGGGGAGAATCTATATATGGGTATGGCTTTATTTTAACTTGATTTTCATTGTTATTATTCATATCTAGAAGCTTCTCATTGAACTAGTAGTTTGGTAAATTCTTTGAGACGACTCTTTTTGGCTCAGAAAATTGCTGGTGGAGTGTTACTTTCTGTTAGAAAGTATATAGATGTATGAGCTCTTCTTTCTGGAGCAAAATGGGGTCAAAATTTTTGTCCCTATATGATGGCCTGAATTTGATATTATTAACCTACTGTTTAGTGTTTTGGTCTCTGTTTCTTACAAAATACAAAAATTGGGTGCTTTTGTAGAGTTTTGTTATGTAGAGAGTTAAATTTCTAGTTATTTACAATGTTTAAAATTTTTGAGGATTTCTACATATGAGTTTGCTGTTAATGGCAGTCCCAAGTTTGAGGATGAGATAAAGTCAGAGTTAAAGCACACTGGAGCTGGTATTTTGTCTATGGCTAATGCTGGACCAAATACAAATGGAAGTCAGTTCTTCATAACTTTGGCACCAGCTCCCTCTCTGGATGGTAATGTTCTTCTTCTTCATAGTTAAAGTAAGAAATTGTTAGGTCAATTTCCTATTGAAGTTCTTCAAACATGTGGGTTTCACAGTACCTAGCTAGACGGTGTACTATTTTTCTTAGTGATGCTGACAACTGAAAATGAAGTTGTGTTGCTTTATTTCTTTAATCTACCCACCTCACATGCTATCATTTTAACTGTAAATAGGCTTTTCCCAATTTACTTCTTGCTTCTATTCTTTCTGTATTTCATTATATTTCTCATGAAATCTTTGCCTAGAATGTTGAAGCTACCATACTCAGATCAGTATTTAGAATTTCATATTTCTTAATCAAAGTGAAAGTTGACTGCCAAACAAACTCAAGTGAAAGTTATATTCTGTTTGCCTTTACATTTTTAAGGGCATTTTCAAACTTCCATGGAGCTGATTCTTTAATAAGGTTATTTTGGAGCTATTGCCTTCTTAGTGATGCATAACAGCCTAAGATTAAAATCCTGAGAATCTCTTTAATGTGCCTTGTGGCAGTTAGATGTCAAATAATTTTCTCTGCCTTGAAGGCCAAGCTGGTTATTTTTAAATTAAAATGTTAGATGAATAAGTTTTGGCCTGATAATTACAAGCTTTGTACTCTTGTTTTGAATTATCGTTACATAACTGAATAATCATGGACTTTCACTCCTTTTGCTATTTGTGTTCTGAAGCTCTCTTGCTTTGTGAACTTGTGATTATGATCATGTATGGTTCTGTATCACAGGGAAGCACACAATATTTGGAAGAGTTTGCAGGGGTATGGAAATTATAAAGAGGCTTGGTAGTGTCCAAACTGATAATAATGACAGGTAAGCCCTTTCTTCATGTCTTCCTGGCTTTTAGTTCCTGTTAGTGTGTGATCATATCCTCTGAAAGTTAGCTTTTGCAAGTGTCCCATTTTATATTTTGATTAAAACAGGATTAGTCAAAAAGGCACCTAGGACTAGTAGAGTCACCTTCACATTAGAAGAACTGGAGTTGTATATTGTAACTCATAAATCAGAAATGCTTTTTCGTGTGTTTAAACTTATTGTTGATGCCTCCAAATTTTACGTATGACAGAGTTCCAGTAGTGCATTGAGAGGGAAAATACATCCACCCTCCATGGTCAACTCCCCAAATAAAATGAAATTTATAAACAAAATCTGATAAAGGGAAACAACAGAACTGCAGTCTAGGTTGATTTTTTTTTTTTTTTAATCAAATGAGTAAATTTTTTGCTGATAAAAAAAGGGATGTAATTCTCAAAATTTTAGAGATGTAATGTGCACTTATTAAAGTAAAAAAACAGTGTTGTATAGTTTGGACTACCCAATTTTAATCGTTGGATTGAGGCAAGTCTCCTGATATTGGGGGCTCCCTCCCCCATCCAATGGTTCTTGTTTTGCAGTCCAAACTATGCAACTTTAACCCCCTCCCCCAATACAATGGTTCCTGTTTTGCAGTCCAGACTGCAAAACAGGAAACTCTAAAGTAAATAGTGGAAGAGAATTCTGAAAATTTGAGATCAGGGAGTTAAGCTTGATTGTGGTATAATCCCATCATATAGTAGATTCCTTTATATCAGTGTTAGACATTATCCCTTTGTACTTGCTTTGTTTCATTGGGAAGTTGCTTAAAAGTTACAGATAAATCTTTAATCAAAAGCAAAAATGAAGATTCAGATAAATTGATGCTGAAATGATTTTCATATTCCCATTGTAGGCCTATTCATGACGTGAAGATATTACGGACTTCTGTCAAAGACTAGTGGCCGAAGAAGTTTCTAATGTTAGATCCATGCGTTCCCTTCCCAATATGGATGAGCTAGCCTTTGGTAATTGATTCTCTTGGGCAGACTGGGCCATTTAGAAATGTTGTACATTGTTTCTAAATTTACATGGTGTTAAACAGACCTATTCTCTTTGAGCTTCTGTCCGTTCTGTGATTCTTCCTTTTATGGTAGTGGTTGTCAGAAGTATTCTTGCATGATGAAGAAGGGACTCCGCATTTTATTTACTTATCTTTTTGAACGATGCTAGAAAAGAAAATGATTTTTTTCAGTGTGAACTGCACAAAAAAGTATAGGTCGGTAAATGAGAGTACCAAAACACACTGTTGCCAAGCCTCATCCTTTATAAAGGCGGATGGGACGTTGGAACATTCTTAAGGTACCACACTACCGGGCTGCACTTGAGTGCTAGATCACCAATAATTTTCAGTCAGGAACAAGGCAACTAATCTTGTAAATGCCTAGGACTACACAAAACAAGCCCCACCAAATCAAAAGATTCAGAACAAAATCCTTACTGGTGATATACAACAAGCCATGACTAAATTTCTATTGTTCTGGGAAAAGAATGCAGTCAATGTTACAAGCATTCCATAGTTGCTCCTCAAAGCATGTGTCTTTTGAATCCGTTATATCATTCTATATGGTATGCAGCAAAATCACATTTTGCCAGCTTTAGCTGGCATTCCTTTCCCAAAGAATGTGACCCCATTGACCGTGACATCAGGTTGCGACCATACTTGTCCGCCAGCAGATACTATATTCTATAATCCTACACGAGGGTTGTCCCTTAAGAAAAGGAAAACGCTAGCTGCCCCAGTCCTAGAAACCACCAAGCCACACGAGCACCAAAGATCCAATTGTTTCAACCAACCGTGCCTGAATTTATAGTCTGGTTTGACTGATTTCCATTCTCTTCGCAAGTGGGATTCAGTATAGGTGATGGAACCTGATTAAAGCCATTAGCCTTGACAAGTTCAGGAGAACTATCTTTTGATACAGTGATACTCGTTGGCTCTGGGTTCTCGACATGTAGCTCTTCAGAAACTGCTTGCTGTTGTAGCATTTCCAGGGACTGTAGAGATGGCACATCACCCTTACAGTACCTGTGCCACATCTTCCGATATATTGCCTCCAAGCCAGCAGTAAAGTTCTGTCCATCACATAGAGGTGAATTGGCCATAAGGTCTCGGAGACGCATTCTCAAGTTTGAGAGAACAGTAACATCAGAGGCCAGGTCTATTGCCAACTGGACATATTCATCTTCATTTTTGGCTATTAGATGTCCTAACCCTGCATTACACGTAAATATATCAGTAAATCACAATTTCTAAAAAAGGGAAAATGTATTAGTAACTCACAAATAAGTCACAGAGATCAATAGAAAATTAGCATAGCAGTGCATAAAAGTGTAAGTTAAACCTAGGGACCTAACACTGGTCAATAAGCATATTGCCTGTCAGTCATTTTTGTTTTTGTTTGTAAGATAAACGAGATCAAGCTTTCCTTCTATCTCTTAATAGATATTTGGCATTTAATAAACAATCTTTTAGGTCTATATTAAGACAAATTTCGTAGCATGATTACTAGTGAGGGAAGACTAGATGTTATCCTCCTGATGCAAAACTTGAGGTTCTAGGAAATGGTTCCAGAAGTTTCTTCCAGGCTACAATACAGGAACCATGACATTGTTCATTTTCCATTTGCAATGCCAAAATCAAGAATGCTAAGGCAATCCAAGCAGCAACAATTCATAGGCAAGATTAACGTAAACAAAACATCAGACATTAATCATAAGTAAAAGCTCCTCACCAACATTGCTGAGAAGACTCACACCAACATTGTGAGCATGTACCGAACCCTCCATGGTAACACATGGAACACCCATGAAAAGAGATTCACATGTTGTAGTTGTTCCAGCATATGGGAAAGTGTCCAAACTGCATGAGTGATATCCATAAGTGAAATGCATGTACTAATTATTAGGTTTCATAAATGCAACTAAATAACCCCCAAAAAATTCATTTCAAAAGGTTTTCATAGCAGCAATCACCAACATCAAGCATAACTGCAGAATGTATGCAACTGAGATTGTACCTGATGTCCATAAGAGAATAAGCTTGCATATGATCATGGTTAAGGAGAATTAGGGGCAGGAGGTCTACACGAAGTGATTCTAACCCCAATTGCTCCAATGTTGTTAGAAATTTCTGTCTAACACTATCACAACAAAATGGCTTGCATTTTACCACAAGGCGAGAGTTAGGAACAGCACATAGTATCCTTGCCCACACTTGCAACACCTTGGGTGTGATCTAAAAAAGGACCCAAAAGAAAGAGGTACATGATTACTAATGACAAGAATGAACATGGTTTAGCATAAGGTAAGCGGCCAAAACAATACCTTTGCCAGATTATTGAAGCTACCAAATGTGATAAAGCCATTGGAAAGAGCTGGTGTTGGACAAACAGGCCCAGCCTCTGGGGAAGGTGTATAACAAAGGAAGCATTTTGGTAGCCTAATTAACTCCTCAACATGCCTGCCATTTGATAGTACCATCAAACATGCAAGAAAGTTATAGAATAACTATTTTAATTGAATAATGATATTTGCTAAAGACAAAAAATGAACCTACTTCTGCTTTGTATCAGGAGGATCAGCTAGTGAATCAGTGATTCGGTAATCAATTGTAGGCAGACCAGTAGTATTTGGATAGCCAATCCAGGTCACCTACAGTGAGAATAAACCAAAATAATACCAGTCATAGACCCAATATAAACCTGAACCTAGTTTTAATCAAATAAGGCACAAAAGTATTCATGCACAAAGCCATAAACCACAACCAGAAATCCAACTATAAATTCAGTTTGGGACAACTAATTTTTTTTTGAAAATGAAGTATGTACACTAATTTGACAATAGGGAAATTATAAATAACAAAGAAGAAAGTTGTGGATGTTCAATTATGTTGATCTGTTCATCTCCTCCCTATCCTTCATACAGATAAGGTTACAAAAACTAACTTGAAAGGCCCAGTGAAGAATTTAAGTCTATTGATTCTTTTACCATACACTTGGATGAAATTCCAACCCAGGGGATCAAGGAGTTGAACAAGTTAATTTCTGTCTTTTGATGAAACAAGAACTTGAAGACAACACCAAGAGCAAACTGAAAAGGTGATACCTTCACCATACCTGAACAGGTGCTGGTCGACATGCCATGGTTCCCAACTTGTTATTAGCAGTATGACCAGTAAGTTCAACTAAGATGTCAACTTTATCCTCCCTAATCATGCTTGCTACCTTCTTTTCATCAATTCCATATATATCTCTCCATAATCCGCCCTTTTTTATAACTTTCTCCCTAAACCTACCGGTTTTTGCATCTGCCTGCAAAATTGTAAGTTCAGAATGTGCATAGGAAAGAGGAAAACATGGTCCATAAAGGCAATAGAAAAGGAAATTTATGTATACTGCATAGTACTCTAGCTTAAATAACTTCTTTTAATTAAATATAACATTGCCAGCTGTACTCTGGCTTAAATCACTTCTTTTAATTATATAAAATTGCCAAGTCATGATGTTTCAATGCCTTCATATGTCTATCCTAAAAACTTCTAGAGAGAGCAAGAGATATAGATACTTGTATTCAACTATATACGTGCAAAAGAATAACATAAATGAATAAATATCAGAGTACAACATCTGTAAATAATGATCAACCTTAATATTGAATAACAATATATCCCAAGCATCAATACCTTCACTACTGCAGAATAAACAACCACCTTGTATTTTGTATAGTCATGATAAACAAGAGGGGCTTCAATAAAGTAAGATACAGAATGAGTAAAATAATCCGGAGATACATATCCAATCACAATTGGTCGTTCTGGGTCTTTTGAGTTGTCCCATGATGTGTACTGTGGATATAACCTCATAAAGCGCCTACCCCAATCCCTGTAAGCAATCCAATTTAGCAAATCCTCATCAAAACTAAGTATAACATAAGTCCAGCTCTCTACAAAGGATGTAGATAATGGCATGCAGGCAGAGATTGCCAAATAAAACAAGCAGTTGAATGACAGATCTTTGTTTTGGTCATACCCTTGCTATACAATTTTCAGATCTTCTGAAGTTTTAGCTTCTGCATTTTTAAAGGTTAGATTTCTTTTCATAACTTCCTATGTATGGGGATGCACCCATTCTTAAGCACTTCAAAATATAGTGATGATCAAAAGAGAAGAAGAAATGCAAGGTTAATACTCAGTCAGAATGTTCATGCTGTCATTTAAAGCACAAAGCACCTCAATACTCCATAAAAAATAAAGCATCCAGACGCCATCCTAGTGGCAATAAGGGGCATTATCCAATACTAGTTCCACCCTAGCAGGATCATGGGAAGGAAATTCATCAATTTTCTACTAACACAAACACACATTTGTGTGTGTACACTAATGCATTCATGCATTAATAAAAAATGTTAAGAAAAATTGATAAAGGGTGTAAGCAAAGAAGACCAATAAGCAAACAGATGCAATTGAAAAGAAAAGCTTGAACCTGTGAGCCTCAAACAGTTTATCATCATGTCCTCCATTTATGTAATTCATTGCAAGCAGTCGATTCTGTAAAAATGTGGAGGAGTATACAAGTAAGAGAAATAAATATCGGAAGTGTTTATTAAACAGCTGATTATTTTATTAAGAACAAATATATTTCAGAAGGGAGATCAGAAATATAAGATGGAATCATGGCAGCTCAATAAAACGTGAAAAAAATAGGGAAAGATTACTTTGTGATCATCTAAAAGTTTTACACGTTCAATAATCTTTGTTCTGCAGTTTATTTACTAATCATTTATTTGAGTCATTGTGATTCCCACTCAAGAGACATCCAGAGAAGCCCAAAACTGAAGAAATCAAGCAACCAGCACTCAATTGATTCTAGCATCTAATTCACATCTTGAAAGGTAAAGAAACCATCAAGCAAGTGTAAAATATGCCAAAGACACAAAGATGCCAATTTATCTTTTCAAAGGACTAGATGATAAATGCTTTCACCACTGATTTGCGCCGTTGAGGCAATGAACAGCTTCAGACTACAAAGAAAAATTAGCCTGCTTTGTAATCTTCCATTAGCATTATTTAGTACAAGTAATTAAATTATTTAATCCAATTTTCAGATTGAGTTCAATATTGAATCACATAAAGAGGTCATGTTTGGAAGTTGAACATTTTCTGGATAGGCAAAATACAACTGACACAGATGCTGAGGATACCTGCAACAGGCAAGAGAAGTAGAGGACACACTGATTGACACTAGATCGATTAATGAAAGTGTAAAAGTGATTGGGTATATCAATTCAAAAAGTGCCATTCATTCACTCTTTTTTTTTTTTTGGTCTCTTCTTCCTTCTTTCCCTTTAATTATGTGAGGTTATCCCTTAATCAGAAATTGTTAATAAATTTAAATTGATAATGATCAAGAGAATAAAGTACCTGTCCTGCATTGCGAGAATCAGGATCTATCTTAAGGCATTGCTCATAAGCTGTTATAGCATTTGTTATGTTGCCGGCATCTCTGTAAAGAACCCCTGGACATATGAATTTAGAGAAGTAAAGATAAGATAGAAATATCCCAAAAAAGTGAAATTATTATCCAGAAGATATATCTTTTAGAAAATGGGTGTGTGTGTGTCAGCGAGAGAGAGAGAGAGAAAGAGACCTAAGTTGTTATATGCTTCTGCATATGTAGGATTTGCAAGGATAGCTTTCTCAATCATGCTAGCAGCAGCATCCATTTTACCCTGCCAAAATTAATGAGGTAGTCAGTGCCTGTCTGAGACATGTATTATGCATCCACTTAACTGCAATTCAAACCTGGACAGTGTAAACAACACCAAGATTGTTTAATGACTGTGAAAAGTTGGACTTAATTGACAAAGCTAACTGCAAGAAAAAGAAGAAGATGATGATGATGATGATGATAAGTAACAATGAAGATGAAAAAAACAAATTAATGTAAAACAAAAATCTTCCACAGAAATAGAATATTGCCTGATAGCACTCTACAGCTTTATCAAGGTTGTCTCTATCCTTGTATATAACTCCTAAATTATTGCATGCCTCTGCACAATGGGGGTTGAAGTGGAATGCAAGTTCATAGAAAACAATTGCCTGGAAAAATCAAAGTCCATGAAGAACATTTAGCTAATGCACCAATGATAGCAAACAACTAGTCGCTATGAAATATTGAAAAATGCAGAGTTAATACCCAAAAGCATTTTCCATCGACAACAAATACAACCTATGCCAAAAATATAGTCATAAGTGCATATGCAGGGAAACAAATCCCTTACCATATCAAACTTCAGCATTTCACCATAAGCAACCCCAAGATTATACATAGCATCAGCATAGTGCCAATTATAATACAGAGCCTTCTTGTAGTATTCTACACCCTGGTGGATGTCTCCCTCCAATTTAACCTAAATATACATGAAACTGAATCCAAAATCAAGGATAGAAGAATGGAGAAGTTGCACATGATAAAGAAACAGTTAAGTGATGCAGGAAAAGGAATTTGTATAATGAAATTTTGGTCTAAAGAAACAACAGGAGGATTAACAACTAGGAAAACAGCACAGAAGGGTTATCTTGAAACAGTCACGTATAACTTTATTACCATTATTAAATCTTCCTTTTGTTTGTAGCATAACAATAATGATGAAACAGATTATCTGAGATGATATTATAATAACAGTATGTAAGTTCATTCTAGAAAATGCACAGCACCAAAAAAACCATTCAGGTTCTCATACTAAATCAAGTGAAGATATCACATAACTGTCCATACTATCATCAGACAGAGACAGGTGAATAGAATATCTATGTTGTGTCCTGTAGTGTCCAACAATCTAATTTTCCAATAGAAGAGGTTAACTACATAAACAACTAATGAAAGTAAAACAAAATAAAAAATATATATATTTGATCAAGAAAAACTTCAGTAGATCGTCAGCATATGCTTAGACCAATTAAGTTTGGGGCCACCTAACAATTTTAAGGAGAAACCCACCTTGGTTCCCAAATCTGTCAAGGCAATTGCCATATTATTCTTTGCAATCTCAAAGTTAGGTGATACAGCTAGACACCTGGTATGGCAAAACAAATTATGCGAAGAGAGAATCAGTAGAGAAAGACAAAATATTCAAGATAGACCATGGACCATTTTACATTTAAATCCCAGTGGGTACCTCTCATAACAGGCAATGGCAGATTCCAAGTCCCCACGGTTTTTGTAAATAACACCCATGTTGCAATATGCTTCAGCATACATTGGTCTTTCCAATGCAGCCTTCTCATAGCAAGTGAGGGCCGTGTCATATTGCATCATTTCGGAGTAGACAACACCAAGGTTGTAATAGGCTGGCTGCACATACAAGGTTATACTATAAGAACATAAATATCTAGGACACATGCAAAATAAACGTGAATACAAGCCCATAACTTCAAAATATGGAGACAAGAAAAGAACATGAAATTTAGCACATTTTTATCTACCAATTTAGGGTATGTTTAAAAAATTAATGATATGATACAAAAAAAAGATACACATAGACACAGCAACATAAAGAGAGAACAACAAAAAGAACATGACATTACTGCATAGTGTGGATCTATTTTAAGAGCTTCATAATACTTCTGAATTCCTTCCTGTGTATTGCCAGCAAGCTTTAGGCTTGTTCCCAGATCTGTCAAAACAATGGCAAGGCATTCTGCAGCAGGTTTGTATGAAGCATCTGCTCTCAGGGCCTTCTGATATGACTGCAGAATTTAAACAAATTATATCTTAGGGCCCCTAAGTTGGGGGGGAGGGGGGGGGGTAGTGAAACAACAAAGTCTTGAAAACCACACAAAAACCTCCAAACAATTACTGCAGCACAACACCAGCAGCAAACAAAGAAGCATGTAAAAAGAGCACTACCATCATAGTAAATTCACAAAAAGAAACCA